GTTGCATGCAATGGGCAAATATTGCTACTCTAGTTATTTTTTTTTTTTTTGATTTGGAGGCTCTGCACCTTTGAAAGACTTCGCAACATATGCAGACTTCCGTTTTTATCACTGTCTTTGTATGGCTAACAAAAGCGGGATTACTAAATCGATCAATACATGTTATTGTTTTAAATACGTGCAAGACGAGACTGACACTTGTAAACAAAAATATAAGCATCACGGCTGAGTGACCAAGCGTCACGGACAAAGGGCAAGCATCACGACCGAGTCTCCAAGCGTCACGGTACCGTGTCGCTTCAGAGGCCTGGGGAGAACACTGCTCTATCATTCTGTTCTAATAGCTGAAACAAATTCCTGTGAATTTTCATTTGTTGAATGAACTGTTTGTCAAATACAGAATACATATTTTTGAGTACAATTAATTTTCTTGTTAAAATGTGGATGCAACGTTTTGCTTTTTATGTATTTTTTTGTATTGTTTTTGACTTGATAAACACATTTTCTATTAGCTGTAGATCTTGATCAAAGTTTGGCATCCAGTTCATAGGAGTGCTTATATTGATTTTCTGACATCTTGTTTTCTGTAAAGATTTTATTGGTAGGTTTGCAAATGTGTATCAGACTGTGCAAAAAATCTTTTCATGAGTTGGTTTTGAAACCAAGTCTAGTATTCCCATGGGATTTGGGAGATACACTACCAAGGATATTATTACAAGATAAAAGAGTTGCTTCATTGAACACAGACAACAATGCATATTCCCACTGAGATCAGTGACCTTTGAGTGCGTATCAACAATTATCACTCAATTTTTGCATGATATTTTCATACAGGACATCTGTCGTTCATACTCTGGAAAGATTTTATACTGATGAATAAGGTGACAAAGTTCGATAAAGTTTGGAATAGAATTAGTAAAGTTATTGTGCACACAATAACAATTATTAACGACAACGACGATGACGATAACGACAAACGACAACGCTGGACAGAAATTTTCCCCTTAATATACCTTTTCCTTCCATCTTTGATGTTACGGGCAAGGTAAAAAGGGCTTGAAATCAACTGATTTTACAGCAATATTTATTGCTTTTATTTATATGGACTTACTAATTTTCCTCTTTGTGCAGATGATCTAATTTCTCTCAATGAGTATACATTTCCACACACTGATACTTCTCTCCAGACACCTGGTCTAGCTTCTGGTGTGAAACCACCTTTTGGTCTCATTATAAGAACACCATTGGTTGTCAGGCTGTCAATTCCACCTTGTGTTTCTGTTTTCCATTTACAAGCTTTTTCCTACAACATATAAAAGACAAGTTATTGCATATTATAATACTGTGAACATGCATGTAATGAAATAGCTTGTTCTGATTGGTCAATTGTTACTATGCTTATACATTTGTACACTAACTATACTACTTTTAGTTTTATAATTTAGAATAAAAACATGAGTCATGGCTTAAATCAGTAAACAAGAAAATCAATATTATTATAAAGTAACTCAAAATATGTAACAAAGGATTCTCGGTTAATTGAAAACAATAAGAGAACTATATAAAATATCTCTGGCTGTGGAGGGAACTCACCCCTAGAAATATATTATTCCTAGTATCAAATCCAGCAGCATATATTCTTGATAAATATGGAGGGTCTCTGTCTACAACTATCCTGCATGCAAATCGTGATATAGTACTTTCTGTAACTTGACAGTCTTCTGAGGTTAAAGCACCAGGTACTGTATCCATGACAACAAAATCAATCACTGGATCAGTTGAACGACCAATCTAAGAAAAAAAAAAGTATGTTTCTATTATTAATTTTAATGTGGTTTGCATAACCAGACTCACCTTCTACATTCTTAACTTTTTTCACCATCCTAGAAATGAACCCTAATTTTGATGCCAAATATATTAAAGACAATAACCGATAGAGGGTAGGTTATTACAATTAAAATAAAATAGGTTCCTGGACTATTAACCTTGATTACAGGCAGGAGATCTCTAACAATATTGCAGTACTGCATGGTAGATTATTAACTGCAACCTACCTGGAACATATCAGTGTCTGGATCCGATGCATACTCCACCACTACTGTCTGGTTCCGAGATAATGTATATGATATACTGTGTTGTTTAGTACTTCTAACAGCCTAATGGGGGAAACAAGAGTTTATGTAAAATATGACACATTGCACCACAAGTTCATGTACTACACAGTACATCAGCTGCTGAAGCTTTGCAAATAGTTTGTTGTTGTTTTTTTATTTCATTAGAAAATATACAATAAATAATATACACAATAATAATAGTAATTCTATTGAGGACCACAGATATAGTTCATACAAACTAGTCTAGTCTGTGGCCCCAAGCATATACAATGTACATGTAAGCAGATAGTACTGTATTTATCCAGGTAAGCGCCCATGCCCAGCCAAACGCCCACCCTCTACTTTAGACACAATAAAGAAGTTGAGGTCATATTTAGTTACACGCCCAGGTTTTTTTTTTCTACACAAAAAATAACAAAAACCTATTTTCTGTTCGTTGACTGTGGTTGTATTAACAGTTGACTTTCCCGCAGTCTGTTGTGATGCTTATGAACATTCTTTAAAAATAATTGTTAATTGCGCAAAACAAGGGGTGAACGCGAAATAGCTGTGACAGCAAAATATGTAATTTTGCTTTCTGCCTTCAGGGCAGCGCGTTCACCGCTGATTTACATTTATTTTTCAAGATTTTCGAAAAATGTATATCAAAGCAGAAATGGTAATTTTCTTTTTGAAATATGTCGTAGCCCTAAAAAAGGCCGGTCGTTTGGTTTGTGCTTCCTTGGAAATGATTCAAGCAACTCGTATAAGGAGAGCCGCGTGGCAAGTGTTGCACTCGGTTGGCCGTAGCGTCATCAATAATGAGAGAGTGGTTAAAATAATTTTGGCAATATAAAATATTTGGTAGCAGCTTGTGAACCCATAACTGGGTCAAGCAATTTTGCAATGTCACGCCGAAGACTGCCAACTTTTTTACCATCTTTCATCACCGCCATTGCATTTCTGTCATGAAAACTATTCTTTTGTCAATGGATAAAAAAAAAACTTCCTTTTTCAAGCCCAGCGTGATATCCATCTAGTGAGACATTCCAACCGCCGGAACTTGCTGAATGATAACTTTCACCATGATTGATAAGCGTCGAGTCTGATAAGAAAGCAATGTCACGATTTGACCTTTATCATGAAACACTAGTAGTGATGTCATTCTTAGCCAATCAGTAAACAGATGCATAAAGGTCTAAGATGATTGCAAGACTGTAAACAAAAGCATCGTGTGCCATCGCAGCAGAGTGACTCCATTTTTCTTGTCTCTTTATTGTGACTAGACATGAATAAAAAGTGTCAAGCTGACAGACTGCGAAATCTGTGGATTAAAAGTGCTAAGTCCAAATTGTGTGGGACGATACCGACGAGCTTCAGGACGAAGCTGTAGGGATTTTGTTCGACAGCTACAATGACGCAGATTTGGAATTTGAGGGTTTGAGTTTGACAAAGATGGCAATGAACGTACAAATAAATATCTGAGAAGTTTTTTCAAACAGATATGAATTTTTATAATTTTTACTGTGTAAATTTGTAAATTATTATTGATCTTGTATGACATTTTTTGGCAATTTGAATTTTTATAACTTTTACTGTGTAAATTTGTAAATTAATATTGATCTTGTATGACATTTTTTGGCAATTTTCCATGTTCAGGACCCTGGGCTCTTACCCGGATAAATATGGTACATGAAGTCTTGCTTGAACCCTGCTGATCTTACTCATTCATTGAGTGTACTCCCATTTTTTCACTTGATGCAGGATTTTGAATCCGATGCCGGATTTCGAATCTTAAGCCGGGTTCTGAATCTGATGCAGGGTTTTAAATCTGATGCAGGGTTTTGAATCTGATGCAGGGTTTTGAATCTGATGCTGGATTTTGAATCTGACGCAGGATTTTGAATCGTAAGCCGGGTTCTGAATCTGATGCAGGGTTTTAAATCTGATGCAGGGTTTTGAATCTGATGCTGGATTTTGAATCTGACGCAGGATTTTGAATCTGATGCCGGATTTCGAATCTTAAGCCGGGTTCTGAATCTGATGCAGGGGTTTAAATCTGATGCAGGGTTTTGAATCTGATGCTGGATTTTGAATCTGACGCAGGATTTTGAATCCGATGCTGGATTTCGAATCTTAAGCCGGGTTCTGAATCTGATGCAGGGTTTTAAATCTGATGCAGGGTTTTGAATCTGATGCTGGATTTTGAATCTGACGCAGGATTTTGAATCGTAAGCCGGGCTCTGAATCTGATGCTGGGTTTTGAATCGGATACTGGGTTTTGAATCTGATGCAGGGTTTTAAAACTGATGCTGGGTTTTAAATCTGATGCTGGGTTTTAAATCTGATGCAGGGTTTTGAATCTGATGCTGGGTTTTAAATCTGATGCTGGGTTTTGAATCTGATGCTGGGTTTTGAATCTGATGCTGGGTTTTGAATCTGATGCTGGGTTTTGAATCTGATGCTGGGTTTTCAATCTGATGCTGGGTTTTCAATCTGATGCTGGGTTTTAAATCTGATGCTGGGTTTTGAATCTGATGCTGGGTTTTGAATCTGATGCTGGGTTTTGAATCTGATGCTGGGTTTTGAATCTGATGCTGGGTTTTGAATCTGATGCTGAGTTTTGAATCTGATGCTGGGTTTTGAATCTGATGCTGGGTTTTGAATCTGATGCTGGGTTTTGAATCTGATGCTGGGTTTTGATTTTGATGCTGGGTTTTGATTCTGATGCAGGGTTTTGAATCTGATGCTGGGTTTTGATTCTGAGGCTGGGTTTTAAATCTGATGCTGGGTTTTAAATTTGCTGCAGGGTTTTGAATCTGATGCAAGGTTTTGAATCTGACGCAGGGTTTTGAATCTGACACAGGGTGTTGAGTCTTGTGCTGGGTTTTGAATCTGATGCTGGGGTTTGAATCTGATGCAGGGTTTTGAATCTGATGCAGGGTTTTGAATCTGATGCAGGGTTTTGAATCTGATGCTGGATTTTGAATCTGACGCAGGATTTTGAATCGTAAGCCGGGTTCTGAATCTGATGCTGGGTTTTAAATCTGAAGTCAGGATCTGAATCTGATGCTGGGTTTTTAATCTGACACAGGGTTTTTAATCTGATGCCGGGTTTTGAATCTGATGATGGGTTTTGAATCTGATGATGGGTTTTGAATCTGATGCAGAGTTTTGAATCTGATACAGGGTTTTGAATCTGAAGCTGGGTTCTGAATCTGATGCAGGGTTTTGAATCTGATGCTGGGTTTTGAATCTGACACAGGGTGTTGAGTCTGGTGCAGGGTTTTGAATCTGATGCATGGTTTTGAATCTGATGCATGGTTTTGAATCTGATGCTGGGTTTTGAATCTGACACAGGGTTTTGAATCTAGTGCTGGGTTTTGAATACGATGCTCAGGGTTTTGATTCTGAAGCTGGGTTTTGATTATGATGCAGGGTTTCAAATCTAACACTGAGGCTACTAGTTTCACACAAGAAGTTAGTAGAGTTATTACAAACCTGTGCACTTTTTGGCGATTCATAAGTATGTTGTGCTACTGGTTTGACACCATTTGATGTTGGTCGCTTGAACAATGCAAACAGACTTCTTCGTCTACCCCTATTACCACAAGGAAGGCATCCATTATACCTAGAAATAATAATAATAACTTTATTTAATTTTTAAAAATACACAATTTTCTATCAGTGTATAGCAATAAAAAACAAAAGAAAAACCAATAATTAAAAGCAAAAAAAAAAGCAATGAAATAAAATTTAAAATAATCTGTGAGTAAGAATACATACGTTTTTCATTTCTAACTAAAAAAGATATTGTGTATAATTTCTACTACAGATTTGATAATATTTTATTTATGCTTTGCAATAAAAATTAAAATAAATTTTGGGGATTGGTTTGTATTTCAATGGGAAACCTTACTTTCGACAAATATTTTTTGTGATAGGCATTTGGGGCATTCCATGAAAAAGTATTCATCTTCTATTTCTTGAAGTGCCCATCCCTTCTCTCACAACTCAAATTAATCTGTCTAGTCATTGGAAAATGTTAGAAACAACAAAAATACAGTGTTATCATGAATATAGAGTGAATGGTTATATACGTTCGTTTTAGCAATGAGCTGATTAAAACTTTCAACAAGCAGCCTCTCGGCTGAGATAGCTCCGCTGTTAGTAATGCACATTTCAATTAAAGAACAGAAGCTATCATTAGAAAATGAACAATATGCATAGTATCAATGCTATGGGACTTGCTGTTTTCAACAAGAATTCAAAAATATCATTTTTCACCATAAATGATTGTGGTTTTTAACAAGAAGTCGAAAAGATCACTTTTTACCAAAAATGACAAAAATATTCATCAAAATTAGAGAATTGAAGATATCATTACAAAATGAACAAATCTGAGAGAAGTCCACATGTAGTACCTATATATGTAATATCAAAGCAATTGGACGTACGGTTTTTAACAAGAAGACAAAAATATAATTTTTTACCAAAAATGACAAAATATTCATCAAAATTAGAGAATTGAAGATATCATTACAAAATGAACAAATCTGAGAGAGGTTCACATGTAGTACCTATATATGTAATATCAAAGCAATTGGACTTGCAGTTTTTAACAAGAAGTCGAAAATATAATTTTTTACCAAAAATGACAAAAATATTCACCAAAATTAGAGAATTGATGATATCATTACAAAATGAA